TGATTTTTACTTCCAAGAAAAAGAATTATGACAATACAGTAATCCAATACTTTTTGGTAAAGGCAGTAATTTATCATTTCATATCATTTGTAAGAAGCAAAGATGAAGTAAATGTGTTATCATACTTAACAATATTTGCTTGCTGCAAGATTATACTAATGGAATAGTTCAGACAAAGTGTCAGTTTCTTTGAAAGACCATGTACCTTATTTTAAGTGGTGGAAAGGGTATTAAAAAGGCCATGCAGCAAATAACTTTTCCTTGAAATATTATTTCCTTGAAAAAATACTTTCACTTTCAATATCTTAAGTTGTGAAATGAAATCATTTAATGTACCATTTGGCATATAACCTTATTATTAAAGCAAATGAGCATGCAAAAATTTGAAGCATTTAATTAAAAAAATTGATTTGTTTTCAATTTGAAAACAAAAACAATTATTGTGTTGCATTGCAGCAGTGGAACAGTAGCTCTATCAGACTCCGACACTGACTCTCCATCAGGCTTGCTACCTCATATTTTGATTACTGTTGATCATGATCAGCTTTGGGAATTCCACAGGTCAGAGAGTCTTGCACAAATCTGAGCAAAACATGAAGTCTGGGATAAGTGATAACTCCCTCCATCTGCTGTGACACTGCCACCTCCCTCAGGTGTTGTTACCCGTCCTCTGAGCTCATTAGAAATTAAAATGCCTCATCTTTGATCGCATTGGATTGTTCCAACGCAACTTGAGAAGTTCACTGATCTGCCTTGATCACATGTCACACTTAGTATGACACAGGGCACTTCCCTGTGGTAGTCGCGATTCACAGAGGACACATAATTCCTATCCAAATGACAGTAAACTTGGTTAAAAGCCCCCTTGTGTGTTTAGCTTCATTGAATTGTTGCCTCTCAATTGTCTAAGCAAAAAGCAGTGTCTGGTTTTCTGCAATGTTAAACACTTGTAGTGCATATTTCTTTGCATGCGACAAATAGTTCTCATGAAAAAAATAATGGGGGGATCACAGTAGGAGTTTGAATAAATTTTTTTTTAGCAGTTTTGTCCTCACATATTTTTTTTATTGAACACAAAAGTTAATGATCAGATTCCTTGAAAGGAAAAGGATTTGTTGGCCAAAACTGAGAGGGGTGTCATTTTATATCTCAAGGGAATAACGTACACATCTATGTTTGAATATTACCTGTTTGGACAACCTGCAGGGCCAAATGATAAGACTATCTACTTTCACGTACCCTTTGCTTTCATGTACCCTATCTCAAAAGCACAGAATGAAATATTGGAAACGGAATTGTTCTGTCTCTCAGTTGGGTCCTTGGAGAACAATTAGTCCACAGGCAATGCTGAAAGCTACTAACTTTTATCATTTGCAGCTATTTTCATAGACATTATTGTGTATGGTATAAATTATTGAATGCGCTATTGCGTGTAGCCATTTGAATGTAAGGATCAGAAGTAGGACATATAATGTAAAGGAAATAATGTCATTCAAATTTCATTGCAATGTTATGCACTCATTGTTGGAAAGTGAGAAAGTTTCTCAACATGCAATCTGTCACTTTGTTAGAAGCTCTGTTGACCCCAACAGACAGAATACACTGTGATCGCCACTGTTGCCTATTAAGTCTGAAATTAAAAACAACATTGCTCATGAATTTTTAAACAGATATGATATCATTAACAAAGAATTAGGTTGGTTGAGTGGTTTCTATTGTTCTTTGATCAGCTACTCATCTAAATGAATGCAAAACAACACAAGAGCGGATTATTACCGAGAGAGCAGTGAATCAGCAAATAAGCTCACCAATCTACCGAAGTTTCCTCCCATGTTTTTATACGGGATCTGCATTATTAACAAGATTAATATACAGAGGCATTCATTTATAACTTCTTTGTGGTGGTAAAGGGAATTGCCCTCTTCTAGTTATTGCTACACTTACGACTATTTGCCAGACAGCAATATATATTGTATAAAATATGAATTAATAATTGCTTAATGTATGATGATATTCAATCCTTCTTACAATGTATCATGTGCCAGTCTGGATAATACATTACTGAAAAATATTGGGATCATTTGAGAGCAGGGCTGAAAATGGTAAAAAGTGCTGTAACAATTTAAGGAGAAATTTCTTGAAATAATTCTGTTCTAGATGTGATACTTTGAAACTATGTTTCTAAAGAGAAACTTAGATGTTTGATCTTCATCTAACATATCTACAATGAGTTGATGCCTTGTCTTTTTGATATCTAAATCAAAAAGAAAGCATGTGAAGAGGATAGCATATTCCTTCCCCCCATCTTGGCCCTCTTCTTTTGTTTCCCAGTAGTGTTGTTAAGCATGCTCCATGGTCTAACTTTTATTAGTCAGTCAATATACAGTTTTGTTGAGTTAATCGGGCTTTGTAATGAAGTCAGGAAAAGACAGAGGTCATTTGATGAAATTCCTCTGGGAAGAGGAATGTATTTAATCTCGCTATCTCACACTGCGATCTATAAAATTTTCTTTAAATCAAATAAAGTAAACAAATTCTGTTCTAAAGAGTAATTCGGAAACCCTATCAATTTTGATGTATTTGTGTAATCTACTGACGATCCCTCTATGAACAAGCAAAAATAAGTTGATTAAGTGCATCCCCTGGAGTAATCTATCATCATTTACTATAATGAAAAAAGTATAATCCGTCAAGCCTTGAAATGTCTTGTCTTGGGGAAAGTTCTGAAAAGTGCTAAAGCTATTGTGGACTGTAGGTCAGATCGAAAAGGAATCCTTTTATGTTTTTAATTTCATTTGTTTAGCATTACTTATGCCACAGACACTGGTAATAACTGTGTTAGCCTGTGCCAAAGCTTGGCCACGAACCCAATCTCGGTATCCAATCTAACCAATCAGGTCTGACTCAGTAGTGACTTGATCTCTCCCACTTACAGGCAGTTTATGAAGAAGACTCTGTAAAGGAATGTATCACTGTACAAATATGGCTCGTGCATCAAGATGTCCACTGGGGATGCAGTTTAGTCTATAAATAATCACCTTGGTGAAATTTTGATGAATTACTTGGAATATCTTAAAGAAGGGGCAATACCAGACTAAGGAAACATGCTAAGATTAACACTTTGGATTAAACTCATCATTATTTTCAATATTTGGGGTTCCTTAAATGATTAGTACCTACCAAAATTTCATTTTTTTCTCTTAAAAATTTCACTATGAATTTATTAATATTAAGTGCATCAAAAGTGTAGGCATGTGAGTTAAGGTATCAAAGTTCTTCTTTGAACATTTTTACCAATTTTAACATAGAAACAACAATGAAATGATTAAATAAGTTATTACTGAGAAAACTGTTTTCCTCCTTAAACTGCTTATTCAAATAACTCATCATTTACATATCAATACAAAATTCCACAAAAACTCCTACCTAATCTCCCACACCTCATTTTTATTCACCATCATTACTCAAAGTGTTGAAGAAATGGGTGGTTGAAAAATTACAAATTGACAAGATGGCCTTTAAATGAAAGTATTTCAATATCATAACCCTTAACTAATCACATCCTCAGTATTTTGATGAGTCTTTAGTGACCTTTCCTGTACTCCTGAGAGGCAACCTGGCACAAGGTTTAAGTGAACTGGGAGTTCTGACAGACTTTATCAAACTATTAGCAGCTCACAAGGCAGACTGAGCCAATTGGTCCTTTGGGTCCTTTTACCTGTGCACATGACACAACCAACATGAGATTTCAATTCCTCCCGACTAAGCTCCGTCAAGGGACTTGGAAGTTGACATTCAAAGATAAAATGTGGTAACAATTTCCTACGGGTGTTTATGTGCGTGTATGCTGTGCAAATGAGGGTGCCATTAAAGGAGGTCATCACTAAGTTGATCTGGAAAATGGAAGATAAAGTGAAAAGAAAATGAGGACTGCTGGTTGAGTTTCCAAATGATACTGTGCCTGATGTTGCATTGAAGATGATTTGCAATGTTGTTTGACCCCTGCTTTATGGTCTGCTAAGATAATTGCAGTTTTCAATAACTTAATGCTTCCAAACTCCCATTGCACTAAAGCTATCAATAATTAGTGCAGCACCCTTGAAATGCGTTATGCGATCAATGCCTACAGATGCATCATCTAGGCTTGGCGCTCTGACTCTTAATTTGTCGATGTGGTCCCCAATGCTTGTGGATCATCGCACGGCTTAATGCATTAACTGCGGTAGGAGCCCTACACTTCTCCCTCTTAATGGCCAGAGTTCACAGCAGAGTGCCTGCTTTTATTTCATTATAAGATCACTTTAATAAGCTCCTTTTGTTCCTTAGGGATCAAATAATAACAACAAATTAGTCTTTAAGTTAAGCTTTACCAAATTATCTTTGTTACGATAGATCCAAAAATGGCAGTCTTACACCTCAAATAGCAAATAGACAATTTCTAAGATAGTAATATGAGGAAAGTGCCATGCTTTCTACAATTACCAAAAAACCTATCCACAGCTGTCTTGTGAAAAAAGTCATTTTAGTTTTTTTTGTTTTGAGCTGTCTGGAGTCAAATTTTTTTCTCTGACTTTGATTGACAATTCTCCTCTAATACGGAAAATACTAGGAAAGCATTCATAGCTAAACATCAAAAGATCTCTGTGCTCTTAATGAAATAGAATCACTGATGAAATATTGTGCAATTGTACCCATTTATGTCAAAAATGGCATTTTTGTTATCAATAACTGTCTCCTGGGGAATGAGACACATTCTCCAATGACATCCAATAGCCACACTACATGACATATTTCATATTGTGAATGCATGACCATGAATCTTAAAATAAAATTGCCATCAGTTACATTTTGGATTGGATTGTGCATTTTTTTACATGGATGGAATTATAATTTTTCATAGATTTATTGACATGTGGTGTACCTAATGAAATTTCAGTATCGCAGATTTACTTCATTATGTTTGATGAACCTCCATTCAATCTTATTTCTTTTATCTCCAGATTTTTCCTAAAGTTCTTCATGAAATGTAACCAGAATTGCTTGAAAAATGCAGGAAATCCCAGAGACATGCGGAGATTTCAGGTAATTTTTTTGTGCAAATATTGAAATAAATTTTAAGAAGATGTAAGAGTCATGGCCTTCCAGTTAAGTTGACATCAGTCAATCCTGTATGCTTCTTCAAACAGGTTTTATCTATAAACTGATTTTCATAAATAAATAAATAAATATTCAATTTCAATCAAAATGAAATAGCATGCCAGACAAAACACAATGCTTTTAGGATGAGATGAATCTTTTTAACAGTGTCAATAGCTACAAATTACAGCCAGAGAGTCAGCAATTTATAAAAGCATTGCTGTAAGTCAGGAAGCAATAAGCTGACAGTGTGCTCCGTCATTAAACGCCTTCACAAATTGTTTTATTGACAGAAGGACAGAGAAAGGAAATATAATCACAGAGCTAGGAAATGGTAGTTTCCTTTGTTAGTTAGTAGTCTGCTACTGTTGGAGTATAGATGCATTGCCCGGAACTTGGCACAAATCAATAGTTGGCAACACTTCACTTTGCATCAAGCTCAGCATCACTTTGATGGAATTTTAACACCAATGCAATTGTTACTGAAGTAGACAATGTACAAGTAATTCATGACAAACAAAACTGAAAGCAGAGGGTGACAAATTCATATATGCAGAGACTCAGGGCATCCTAGTTGCTACTGCAAAAAGTGTATAAAGTTTTTTTTCATCTTAATGAATAATAATTTCATGGATAAAACTAAATCATCTTAAAAAGCTCCTGTATATAGTTTGGAAAGTTGAATTAAAAAAGAGAAAATTATGTATAAAACGAGCTGACCAATACTGATATCACAATTTTGCAGCAGCCATTTTTAAACTCAATTCTCCAGTCTCTGACTTCGAAATGCATTCTGAGTCCCCTGTGTATGTCTGTAAAGACAGATGCATATCAACAAGAAAGATATCTTCAGATCTGACCACTCTCCTGGTATCACACATACATACACACTCAAGTTCAATTCGGTGTCCATGTCTGGCATTTCTTCTCCTATCAAGATTACTGGCCACTGATAGGAACACATAGACAGCCTAGGAATCCCCATCTCTTTTTCTCCACTTTTTTTCGTTCAATTCTTATTGACCTGCATTACAATTGCTGAACCAGAACAAGTGATATTCTGGCCAATGCTCAGAGCAGATCGCTGGAGAGAGCAGATAGTTCCGCCACTGTGCGCCAGGAGATTAGAGTCTCTCTCTCGAATGATGAATGGCATGTCATCTACAGCATACTGATATGCACTTCAATTTGACTTTCATTGATCAGTGGCTGAAGACTGCATGGAATGGCCCATCTAGTACTAAAGGGATCATTTGACACCCCCCTTCTTAATGCTGGTGTTTTTATGCTTTTTTTAGTTCTGAAGGTGAAATAAAAACAATTTTCAAGGACAAAATTATTATGGAACTCACAAACATTGCATGACAGGAAATAAAAAATAAAAAAGACTACTTCAAATCATTTTGTGCATAGAAACAAAATCAAGTCCTACATCAAATATAAAAGCTGTTTAAGGAAGTTTTAACTGACAGAACATATACAGCTGAAATAAAATCTCTATCTAATTCTAAACACCTGATAAATTTCACTACACACACTACATCACTAAACTGATCAGTCCTAGAGCAGATGAGAAAAAACCATGTTCCCCAAGGGCATGCCTTGGTCTGTGACATACAAATGAAGGTGTTAAATATCACGCAGAATGTCAGGAGTCTTCAATAAGCCAACTGCTAGCTGGATAGGGTACCGAGATAACTTGACACAGAGCAAGTCCACTGGGGGCCCAACAGACTATTGATCTCAGACAACCAATTTTGTTGTATTTTCAGGTTGCAATTGTGACCAATGTTTCTGTGGATGGCCCTCTATTGGCAGTCTCCGACAACATGTTTGTGCACAACAATTCTAAGCATGGCCGCCGAGCCAGACGGCTGGATCCGACTGAAGGTGGTTAGTATTTAAGGCGGAAACAATTTTTTTCCTCTCCTCATCTTTCAATATTTCTCTCTTCCTTTCAGTGCTGGATTGGTATCTTTCTTTGAGTAGATTAAGATCTTGATCTGTAAATCTTTTAAGACTGGAGTAGGTTTAATTCCCTAAATCTATTGATCTTGGCCTGTCTATTGTTCTTGATCTCTCTAACTTAAAGCCCAATGAAAATATGCATCAGGAGGCAAATTAGGCCCATTGTAAGCACAATGAATAATAAATTCACTGCAAAATTAGTGGATAACTCACTTAAGCAAAGTTGACAATAAGTAGGCGGTTGGGGAATATGCCAAGTAAAGGTTTGGTTTCATCAACATGAGGAGCTAATCAGCATACGAAGAGACAGTGATTGGATGCCGCCACCTGTCATTAGATGGTCCCATGTGGGATTTGGCCAGGTAAACATCGGTCCCTCTGGGCTCCTTTGCTTAGCACATTGCTGCACAAGATCTGACAACAAGGGAAGCAAATTTGTCATTCAATACTGATATGCTTGGAGGGGAATTGTTGAAAGTGAAAGTCATGCATGCATGTACATTAAACAATTATTTCTGCCTTCCCAGTGATGCATCATCATCATCATCATTGTACCCCTATTTCTTTTTTTTTTAATCATAGAAACACATTTGGCATATTAATTTTTTCAAATTGTTTGGCTAGACAATCAAATCCCTGGATTTTTAACCCTATTCAAATATCTATTTACATGTGTAACTGCTAGAGAATTTTGAAGTTAATTTGTTAAATAGGAACTGAATGAAATAGACCAATACATCTTAATCCAATCATATTACCACAATCAACCAACTGAGCCCTGCTAAGCTTAGATTTCCAAGAAAATATGGTAATTAAAATGATAAATCCATAATAGTAATTTCACTGTAAGCAAAATTAGTTGAACAAAATAACTGAAGCACCATCTTTAACCAAAAAAGATTCTGAGAAATAATATAAACTGTTCTTTCATGCCCACACAACAAGTTAGTTTACTGAGCCAGAAATGATGGCAATTTTCTGGAGCATACCCAGGGCACTGCTGGCTGTCAAAACCTGACAGGTTTCATTATATCATCTAATCAAAACCCCACTCCTTTCAATCCTCATGTTCACATCCTAAAAGAATCACATTATCTGAAAAGGAAATTTCTGTTAGTTTTGTGTTACCTTAACTTACTTTCGAAGTGTCACTTTCATTAAAAGTAGAACTTGGCTACAGTAATTTTCCACTTTTTTACTCCAAAAATGCTACTATCACTTTACATATGATTTATCTTTTGATTTTAAGACAAGAAGTAAGGCAAAGTTAATGGTGATCTACAAGAGCCTAGTTGCAAAGATAGGATGAAATTTTTTTGTAGTCCCCCAAAATTACAAAGGAAATAAATTAACACTGAAACTAGACACTGAAAAAAAATGACATATAGATCTAGCAATTGACAAATTTCATTTTATGGGGAATGAATGCATTCTTTAAAATTGTGCAATAAGTAATGATTTTGTGTACAACCTTTCACAGTAAATTTGATACAATGGAAAATAATTTAAAAATGCTGAAAGATGTATTTGATATACATCAATATTTTAGAAGGAGCTCAAAAATCACTGACCAATCATTTTCAGCAAGCAATTAAATAGGGTGAAATTGATGTCCTAGTTTAAACTACTACAATTTAAAACAAGTCATTATTCCTTATAATGTTTTTTTTATTACATTGACCATTTACAACCCTAAATATGGTGCTCTTAAAAAGCATCAATAAGATAAAATGAAGAAAAACAAAAACTGTTAAGAAGATGACTCTCCCTCTTCATTTCTTGTGCCCCCATGTGTGCCAACTAATTAATGCTTTTCAAAATATCACCCTGTTTGGATTGCAATGAAATTGGTGGGTAGAGATGAAACCAAATCTGCCACAGCCGTCCCCATGGCAGGTAGAGTAACACTAGAAACTTAAGCTGAGAATATAGGAAATTTCATTTCAATCTCAAAGGACTGCAAATGACATTAATGGGATAATTGTGGTACCCATTTCTGGATCAGGTTTGGGGTCGTTTGCATTTTACAAGACAGCATACTGTCAGTTTGATGGCTTTGGGAGTCTTAAAAAGCTTGCTGCATCAAGGATCACCTTCTTAGCATTGGGTTTGGTGTTCCAACAAGTTTTTATAAAAGAGGGTCAGGTTTGGAGGGAATACCCAAGTGAATAATTAGTCTTGAATAAATGATTGCGAGATATGATTACACTACATTATGCTTAGTTAGAGACAGAGTGGAGTTAAAGCAACCAACATTGACAGCATTGTATCCCATTGAAACTTCACGTTCATCAAGATTTGCTCCTTCTTTACTTAAATAATTACATTGTTTATTGAATTTTTATTTTAGCCTACTTTAGGCTTTCAATAATCATTATTTCATTTCAGTTTATTTAATTTAGACTCCAGTTTTCATAAAAGAATGGGATTTCATTTTCAAAGAAATATTGTTTTCATTCGAAAAAACTATATATTATACCCAAAATGTGAACAATTTTCCACATACAAATTACCAGCAGTAAGTTCATTAATTACAAGCCATGCAGCAACTAAAAGAAAATGGTCTTACCATAACCAAAAAATGGTCTTAACCATAACCAAAAGTTTATGAAGTTTTAAAGCTGTTGAAAAATATTACAACTCTAAGAACTCTGCAAGTTCTAGATAATGTTGTTCTATTGTGGCATGGCAGTATATCACATGGCATACATGCAGTTCTCAGCTCCCAAAAGCAAACTAATAACAATCAGAACAACACAATGGATTTGTACATGTAGCACCCCGCCCATGCATGTGTCAAACTTTTTCTATTTCAATACAGCATGTGCATTTTGTCAAAAGATAAAATGCAAATTTGGGTTTTCCTGTAGTCTTAATTATAGGAATTAAAGTACAACTGGTGTCAGTGATTGATAGGACAAAGACCATCATGTGTCAGGCTGATTATAACATTTGATACAAAAGCGTGTAACATGGAATCATTATGGGGATTAATACACACAGGAGTGAGATGAAGTCATAACTCAAATCAAGAACCGAGGAAGACACGCAAATGCCACAGTTGACGAGCTCACAACCAAATTATTTTCAACTAAATGTGTAAAAGGGACTTGCCGTCTGTGACATTACATAAATTGATAGAGGATATAAGAAGGGGTATATTACATAGAACCAAATGATAAAAAGTTATCCATTCACTTGACAACAGGCTATGAAATAAGTGAAAAACCTAAATCCAATGTATGCATTTAAGGAATTTACAACAACTAAAGAAACATACATTTTGCACTCATTGCTAATGAAGACAGATACATGGATAAGTTCAATATTATAAGGTTTCCATGCCAAGGAAAAATATCCATCAGAATGATATGAATTAAAGGAAATGTTTTGGGTAAAAAATCTGACATTTTTCTCAGTCATTTTATCATTCTTGTTGCTCTGGGGAAACATAATTTACTTTTGCACAACCTATCTATCACGAAGGATTCTTGTTATTATCTGCAGTTTCCTCAATACATAATGATAGCTTGTTTCACTATGTTGATAAGTTGCTTTAACATAATGTAACACATTTAATGTTTAAAGAAGGGAAAGAATACAAACAACCCTATTAGCCAGAATCTGTTGCAATTCATATACATGTATATTGTAATTAATTCTTCCTGTTTGTACAGGGCTGCAACACAATCTATATCAATTCAATTTTACTGTTGTGAAAAAAGCATGCCTAAGTTAAGAAATCCAATATTTTTTCAAACTCCTGTAGATATGGTCTCCAAGTATGCCCTTTATTTCCCAGCTACCCCAGTGATTAAAGCTATCTGCCCAAGTGAGGGTTGGACTTCAGGGGGGACCACGGTCATGATCATTGGCGACAACTTCTTTGATGGCTTACAGGTGGTCTTTGGAACCATGTTGGTTTGGAGTGAGGTAAGTTGTGCCCATTGGCCTTTGTTAAAAGACAAAGAACAGTTACACAGATTTTGCTTTCAGTATTGCACCTGACTTTTCCCCCCAATACAAATGAGAAATAAAGGATCATGCAACTGGCTAACAGGATCTTATCGCAAGAAAAAAAATCAACTATTGTTTATACTGGCCTGCATGTATTAAAAATAATTTTAGTATATGAAAATTCCAACACAGCCATAAATTGAGCATATGATCATTGCTATGTAACAGATTTAAAAATTGATATATAATAAAAGAATCTTAATAAACAACAAATATTTGCATCTGATCCTTAAAACAAATTTCTCATTTTTTCACACACACTATTTCTAGCTGGTGACATCCCATGCAATCAGAGTCCAGACCCCTCCCCGTCATATCCCTGGGGTTGTGGAAGTGACCCTGTCTTACAAGTCCAAACAGTTCTGTAAAGGTGCCCCTGGAAGATTCGTCTATACAGGTACATCATGTATGTTCTATTATCATTTTCATTATTTACAGTTTTTTGCTAAAGTGGTGGTGTTATTTCCTTGTTGAAAAAACTTGTTTTTTAAACATGTATGCCATAGAAATATTTTAAAACAAAGCCCTTCTTCTGTGTAGTGTGTATTCATACATGTATAAAGATCAAGGTTGTGAAATACAAGAGATTCTAAAAGATATCTTATTTCAAAAGACATTGACCATAAATCAATAGAATCTAAAATTTCATTTCCTTGCTTGTAAGCACATGTAGCAATTGCAAAGCCCATATGATACAGATAGTATTTTTGTGACAATAGTGAAAAGCCACACAATAGTAGAGTATAGCTTTTCTGGTCTAATTTTAGCACAGAGAGTATCATCACATGCCTTACACAAGGAATATAATGAATAACATTAAAAGATAATGTGAAAATGTAGTTTTTTCATATTCATTGCATCTTCAGCCTTGACAGAGCCAACTATAGACTATGGATTCCAGAGACTTATGAAACTTGTGCCAAGACATCCAGGTGATCCAGAGAGGTTACCAAAGGTGGGTGTGCCAACATCATATATCATACCAGATCTATTTCAGCCATTCTTGTATTTGTCCTTTGAAATATGATAAAAATGTCTTCAAAAGACTTAGTAAGAAATTGCCATTGTTCCTTCTTGTGCTGAAAGACGATGCCATTGATGAGAAATAGGAGAAGTTTTAATATTTTTCCTCATCAAATTTGTGAATTGGATTATAAGATAGGAGAAGTAGATGCGTCAGCTCCAAGCACTGCAATCAGCCCTATCGAAAGGATCAGTTGAAATACAAAATTATTTTATACATTAATATTATATATACAACCAAACATGTCAAGTTGATAAAATTTGCCATGCTTTATAAAATAAAAAACACTGTGACGTATTCATGCTGTTCTCATACCTGACTTTCCATTCTCCAGGAAATCATTCTGAAGCGGGCTGCAGACTTAGCAGAAGCCCTGTACAGTATGCCTCGTAACAACCAACTAGCACTTCCTGCACCGCGCTCCCCAGGCATGAACACAGGATCTGGCATGTCCAGTTTCAACACCTACACTGGTCAGCTGGCGGTCAGTGTACCTGAAGCAGCCAATGGTCAGTGGGAAGAAAGTAAGTACAGTGTCAAAATGGTCTGACATATTTGAAAGCTTTTACAACATAATCCTTTGATCTTTCCACTTGTAAATGTTAACAAATGCAGAAAAAGTGAAACATTTAAAATCATTGCTTTTCTGCACAGCTTACATTCTTTAATTATAGTATATTTAGCTCAAATTGACCAAAAGTTCTTAGGTATTTCTTAAAAAAATGTCTTCTGTTACAGGCTATAACCGTAGTTCTACCTCCAGTGTTTCCCCTCGTGGGTATGGCTCAAATGGCTCCACGCCCCACAGCAGTAATGGCAGTTCATACAGCAGTACAATGAATGGCTACGGAAGTTCTGTAGGCAACATGGGAATGCCACCAAATCCAGACTTCCTCCATGGACATGCTGCTAGTAAGATCATTCTAAAATTACTTGTATTGATGTAGTATACTATTAAAGAAAATCAACATGCATTTCTTACATGAAAAAAAATTATCAGGTAAAAAATGCACAAGCCATGTGAAACAATTATGGTAAAAAAAACAAACATCATTTAACAATACTTATTACAATTATTTCACAGTGGACCCCCAACATATCTAGACCAAACAAAACATCTTTTAACATTTTGGTAAGATTTAAACAGGAGCGCAGCATGAATGTATTTTTTCAATTAAAACCCCGCATGACATTCCCAAATACATAGGCCAATTTTGTAGTGTGTTATGTTTTTGCTGAAGAGTCGCAGTGTGCTTTCAAACTCTACCTGTTTTTCTGTCATCTCCAGTCCATGTGGTGTGATTTGATTTTAATTTCCGTTTTTTTTGTTTTTTTTTTTGTTCTGCAGTTCCGTCCCTGCAAATGCCACCCTCAATGCTGTCCCAACCTTCCCTCAGTAATGTAGGGAGGGGAAATTATGGCAGTCCAGGATCAGCTTCTTTTTCCACCACCACCACCATCTTCCAAGGTGCTAAACAGAAAAGTGCATTTGCCCCTGTCACACGTCCATGCCTCTCTCCTCCAACGATCTCAAGATCCGCTGCCATGTCAGGTTTCCAGACAGGAGGGTGGACGTCTGCTGCCCTTGTCGGTGTTAGTATGGCATTTCATCTTCTAAGAATTTCAGTGCCTCTGTTCCATTTTGATAATTTTTTCAAAGTTTTTGTGAGGGTGACATTTGAATATAATACCTTACAGTGGCAGTTAGATTCTTTTTCCCCCAATTTGCTTTTATGATTGTTTTTGCTTTTTATGTTTTTTATGTTCGGTATTATTGCACCTACTATGTGGTTTATTTTGTCCTTACAGTGCAACACTAGGGAGTTTGAAAAAAAATTATAACACATGATACGTGTAATACTTAACACAGTGAGTTACATCTCTGTAATTATCTTCATATTGCAATCTTACTAGTGAACATCAAAAAGTTCTTTATTTTCTTTCCAGGAATGAGTGGTATTGTGTCTTCTCCATTTTCCAGTATGAATCCATTCCTACCAACTTGTTCATCTCAGAGCTACCCTGCCTCCATCATTTCACCAGCCAAATGAAATCACAGGGGTAATTCTACACCCAAGCAGAAAAGCCAAAGACACAATTTCTACTAGTCCGTGGTGATTAGGTCAGAGTGAGCTGGACTTCATAAAATGATAACCATGCAAAAAAAATTATATTCAAAATATAAAATAAACTAAAGGTCACCAGACGGATATCAAATTTAAACATAAACAAGATACAATGTAAAAATATTTTGTATTTCATTAGCACCAATGCAGTATTTCTAAGAAAAAAATTGGTAGATATGATTTAATTTTTTCCAAAGATTGGACCAGAAACAAGAACTGACACTGCCATCAACTTCCCATAAAGGGATCTAGGCAGAATGTTTTGATCCATGAAACGAGATAACTGCATTAGACATGCAAACTTTATATAGCACAGACAGATTCAGTTCATTTTTGCCAGAGGACAGCAGTTCAGGGACTTGTGGGACCTTTGTGCAATTGATGACTTTAACAGGTCATTACAAGCCATTACCTCAGCATAGATCTTATAAATCAACAGTTAAAAATACCCACACAGGACCAGTGTACTCATGTGCGCCAAGATACAATGAAGTATTTTGAACACCACGCTAGCTGCCACAAGAAGCTAGCATTAAGGCTTGGTAATAAACATCATGTTCCATTTGTTAACAAGCCATTATTTTCTGTCTCAAAATTGGCATTTTATTCCAGTCTACATGTGACCAAAAATGTTCAAACCAACCATTTATGTATGGAGTTTCTATTCATATTCTATAGTTTTAATTTTCAAGTTTTATTATCTGTCTTAATTTAATATGTCTAATATCTTTGATGAGTACAGAATGGACCACAGAAAATGTAACATGTTTTGAACAGATGGCAGCCATGTAATGAGCTGCCGTGTAACAACAGCATAATACTTAAGCATTTTTTCCAATCATCCATAATTGAGAATCACAGATAGTGGTGATATTTGGAGACATAATTTTAAGAAAATAAGTACATTCTGCCATATTACTAAGTGCAAACAGTATTCAGGAACAGGGTAGTGTCTTCTTTAAGAGTATAAAAATGCATAATCTTATTTAAGGAAATGTATGAGATATATTGTAAAAGCTTCAGTAGAATACTGTTAAATTCTTGAGTATTTTTTTTTCCAAGTTTTATGCATTTCACACAAAAACATGCATGTATTTAAAGGTGACATACAAAAAATGTCACTTTTCCAACTTCTTGCCAAGTTTTTTTTTATGTGATCTCTGGATGTATTTTCTTTTTAGTAAATACATATCAGTCACTTCATTATGAAAAAAATATACACTATTTCAAAAAGGTGTAGAACAGGTAAATTAATCCAAGTTGTTCTCTAGCATCTGTACTTAAAATTTAGTAAGAGTAAAGCTTAACCATGGCACATATTACAGGTTAGATTTAAGGAGTCAAATTATTTTTATATTTGCAAATTTTATTTATATCTGTATATATACTGTATGTATATGTATTTGTTCCATTAACTACCGAATAACTTTTTTTTTTCATAAAGCACACATCAATTTTGGTGCTCAATGTTTTTAAACTTTACAGTTTATTATGTATGTGGCATAGATTTTTGTGCAAAAGACAATCTCAAAAAATGCACTTTTGAAAAGTATTCCTTATCAAAGTCAGTCTCATCTGGTGTAACTTTAAGTGCAATCATTGTTCTAAATATTCATTTAGTATTATCTGTTATGTTACAGGTATGAAAATAGATGTCAATCTATTCTTTCACTAGCCTTAAGCTTGACCATTCCATGCCAAATTAGAACAAAGCACTATTCATCAGTATAGTTATAGTAAAATTAAATAATTTGTGACCAAGGAAAATTAAGTAAACAAAACTCTATAAATTATTTTGCGTAAATAAAAATAATATATAGAAAACAGGACATGAGGATGAGAAGACATTTCCCTTCCATTTGCCAATTTTCCATTTCTCTAAAGTGCTTTCATCAGTGATTGACGATTTATAGACAGCTTAAAAAGAGCACTTTTCAATATCAAAAGTAAAAGATGATATTTCTTAATTCAAAGATCTTCAATGAAAATGTACTTCTCTCAGCTTATGCTCAAAAATGTTGCTCAAGAGTGAAAACTGATACTGTCATTTACATTAAAAAAACAATGTTTGATGAATAAGGTCAAGTATATTTGGAAATTACTTAACTGCACTTATCTTTTTCTTGTTATTTCATTTTTATTAACATCAGAATATTACTAAGTACTTATGATCTCCAAGTGTACAAAAAGCATATGAAGTATTCTACATGTGCAACTTGCAGTCTTTTTCTGTAGTTTATCTTAGTATGTTTCAAGTGTTGTTTAGAGTAATATGTAGTGCTTGGTGTTTTCAAGAAGACAGAATAATGTCCATTTTAATATAAAAATATACATAAACTTTATTTGTAGTTCTTTTTAATAAATTTCAATCTTCAATGAAATAAAATGAATGGAAATTTCAAAACTGGATTTACTGTTCTTTCACTTTACAGGAAAACAGAGCAAAATATATTTAGCTAATGAATAGATAGAGATATTTATTTAAATGTGTAAACATATACAGCTGAAGGCTTTTTACTGAAGGTAAGAATATTATAACATAACTGAGATGGGAGGAAGCTACAACCTCCTTTATGTCCTATACCGTAATCAGTGACATACAATTTGCGTGCTAAATAACATTTTCTAAATCTTCAACACAATGACAACAATCTCAAATTAGAACCAGGGTATATACCCAGCAGTGGTATCAATAAAATGTGAACTTGCTGTTTGAAAACAGCTAACTAACGTGATCATTAATGCCCAAGTCATATGCTCTTTTTTTCTTACACAAATATATCAGTCTCCCATTTCAAATTTGCACGCATCTAGCACTACACTGTTTACACAAGTACATGAAAAGATATATAAACAAAGTACTATAAGAAACAGCATCATAAATTATATAAGGCCTTTAGTATTAGTAAAAATGTGACAGCTATTACATTTGTGTGTGTGGGTGTGTGTCTACACACGTGTGCATGCATGCATATTGATACTGTTCAGTAGTACAAATTTCCTTCACTGATATCTGCTACATGATACAAACACAGCTCCTTGTACAACAATATTGTGTTAGCTGAACTCAGTGCTCATCCAAGGAGCAGCCAATAACATTCTCCCTGACATTGTCAATATACCTGGGATTTGAGTAAAAGCATCCAATGCTTCATGAGTTTTAAGGAATAATACCAGGTTTGAAATGTGTTTAAATACAACACATTGTTTAGCCACTTGGAGCCATCTTACCTATCAATTTTCAGTATTCAGATTATGAGCTCTTCTCTGAAAGGCTGTCGACTAAAAGAATTGAAAGTTTTTCTGCTTCATGATCTAACACCGGAAGGTTGCTAGCCAGTGATGATTGAAACCACTACAACTCAGGCAAATTGTGCAGGATGGTTTCAAGAGAGGTCTCTGCTAATAACAGCATCAGTGGCGTATGAAGCAGTAAAGATATGGAAGGCCATCAATGAGCAGGGAGTCACTGACGGTATACACATGAGAGTGCCGAAATTACTCTGGAAACATATTTGGGATTTAGATGCTGTCACCACATATTCCTATTGTCCTCTCAGGACATTCGGGATAAAGCGAGATTACGAGGCCTTCTAGAGTCATTACGTGGTTAACCTTCATAGGAGTCGGCCGTAAAACGCAGCTACCTACAGGCAGTTTATTGCTACAATACGAGTGGATCACTATAGTCTACTAGAATTTCAGAGAATTACAGGGTATACTGTAAACACCAGTGCCTGTATTGTTTGAAAAACAATACTTTGACGGTTTCCTGTGATTTTTTTTTTAGGCACGTGATATCACGAAGTGATATTACATTAAGGTGAAATACCCTTTAATCACATATGCCTGTATTGTTTGTGAAACAATACGCTGACATTTTAAACGTAAGGCACGTAATATCACGTGGTGATATTACTTTTATTTGAAACACCTTTAACAAATTACGAAGACTTGTAAGCCAAACTGTATTGAAACAAGTTGAAACAACAATGGCTGAGTTTGTGCATGAAAATGTCGGTCTCACAGAGAGCATTCTGGAAAAAATGGAACGGGTTTTCGAAACGCAGATTCTCTCGTAGAAGAGAGGATAGAGGCTGGTCCACATGGTGAGACGAGCAGTAAACGCACCCAAACCGGCAACAACCCGTATCAGCCAAAAAGTAAAAAGAAAAAAGCTGAAAACTCGTATTCTGCGGAGACAGATTTTTACGAGATCGCAGACGATCAAAAAATGGAGATCGATGCAAAATTAGATCATATGGAAAATATGATCAACAACATGGGGAAAGTTGTTCAATCCCTGACCGTAGGGAAAACGTCCTCGTAGAAGGCGATTCACGGGAAAGCGACACAGACAGCGATTCTAGTAGTGACCTGGTATCTGGGGAATGCAGCCGTGCCCTAGAACTAGACGTAGAGAAGACCTCCGATACCGTTACTGAGGACGTGACGCAAGCCGATAAGCTGCTGAATCGTCTTGAAAGGCAATGTGTTGGCTGTAGAGCCCACTGGACCACCAATCATCCATACCAAACTCGTGAAAAATCTGGATAAGATCTTATCAGGCAGTCTCTCTTTTGACATTGCAGAAGAGAAAAGCAAACAATTCAAGAATGTGCAACATGACTCTTCAATGGAAAAACAGATACGGGAAGTCTATGCCAATATTAGCAATGTAAAGGTCAATAAATCTGGCCTTTGGGTTGACCAAGCAGTGCCAGAGCTTGCCCTCAACTACAGTACAAAGAGTGGGCGTGAAGGTTGTGAGAAAGGGGACTTCTGATTTTCGAGGAATCGTTAAATCTCATAGAGTGAGGAAAAGTTTTCAGCAGTGCTTTCCTTGCAACAGTACCAGACACGATGCCGACATATACTATTACAAAGATAAACAATGTTACAAGTGTAGCAA